CCTGGTACAGATTATTTGTTAGAGAGGTTACAGGAAGAGCTGTTAGGGAGCCATTACAGTAATCTGTCATGCAACAGGGTCGGAATTATGTAAGTCAAATCATTATCCAAGAAAGATGAAATAGATTCAAGTGATTTTTGGCCCTTTTGGAATGCCTTCAAAATATGAAGTATTAAAATTATAAATTAAAAGAATTTCTTTAACTGGCCACAATCACCATTTCTTCCAGATTTCATATGCAATCACTTTCTCTGAGTTCATGCTTTGAATCATAAGATTTCCAGGCTGATATCTATTCCATTTCTCAATCCCCAATCTATTACCTTCTTTATTCACTTCATTTTAAGAAATCCTGTTGAGTTTACAAGGTCCGTAATTTAACTAACACCCTCACCATTACTTGTATCTCTCTTCCTTCTCTATATACTTCATTTCATTTCTCTGATGGTTAAAAAACAAATACATAGCTAATTATTTTTATACGCATTATTTATGCTACCACCCCCACCCCTACTCTCAACCACAGGAGACTATACTGCTTCAGAAAGTTATGCAATAAGATAAATTGGTATCACTATAAATTCTTGTATGCCAACCTCAAAAATGCTCTTAATTTTCCAATTTTGCTCAAAATTCCTAGGATATTTCTTGGGTCAACATTCTTCACCTCCTAAAGAAGCTTTTTTTTAAAAAAGTTTACTTTTTCATTATGAGTTTCTTCAACCGCATGCTGAAGTAGAAAGAAACCATGAGTATCTATCACTTGCCTCTATAAACATGGCCAACCTTATTTCATCTAGTTGAACACATTGCTCCTTCACCGTGTGTTATTTTAAAGATAATGTCTTAGATTTTAACCCAGTAATACTTCAGAGAATACCTCTAAAATATCTGAAGATTTTTTCAACATATCCATGTATCATTGTTAACAAATAATAATTTGTTATTACCATTAAAGATTCATGTAAGATGAATAAAGTCCTTGATGATGATGATGGTATTACAGTTGGTTTGATCTGAGCTGGGATCCATATGAACTCCCAGTATAGCATCTATAGGATATGTCTTTTGACTATAGATCCTCTTCCCTCTTTGTTTACCCTTACCATTTTGTTATTGAAGAATTAATTCGTCATGTAGAATCTCCATCCTAGAAATTATTGACTGCATAATTTTTTTGTTATTTAGGTTTCTTTATCCCCTGTTTTACCAGCAAACTGGCAGTTAGATAGAGGGACCTATTAGATTCAGCTCTATTTTGGGCAAGAATATATCAGAGGTGGTACTGTGAGCTTCCTATTCCTTTGTATCAGGAGGCACTAGTGTCTGGTTGTCTTCCTATGCATAATGTTAAGATTTGGCAGTGGGATCAGATGCTATAAGTCTGATCCACCCATTATAAAGTTTCCCATTATCACTTCATGCAATTTTTGCTGCCATGGGTGGCTATTGTTTAAATCCATTATTTCATTAGTGTTTGCAAAATAGTGAAATTCTATTTCTAAAACTTATTCTGCTTTGAAGAAAAAGATGAGAAAAAGGAAAGGTGAAATGTGGTAGGAATGGGGTGTGGTATGGTTTGCATACACAAAGTCTATTTTATATCACCAAACAGGTAAGGACTATGCTAGTAAATCCTCATCTTTAGTTAGTGAGAGCTAAAGGAAAACATGCACACATTAGAAAATAATCCTGCATGTTCTGCATATGTACCCCAGAACTGAAAGTGTAATATATATATATATATATATATATATATATATATATATAAAAAAGAAAGGAGAAAGTAGTAAAGTCATTAAAAAAAACAAAAAAGAAAATTATGTCCCTGTCATAATAAATATTGTATCGGTGAGTGCAATGAAAGGAAGCAGCAAATTCTATTTTGGAATTGCAAGTAGTTGAAATAGCTGAAAAAATGGATCACATGTATGTGTACATGTGAATATGTGGTGGTAAGTAGGGAGAAAGGAGGCAGAAAATGGAGCACTTTATTAGTTATATAAAGTAGTTTAACTCTTTTTCCCCAATCGGCAGTGAAATGAAGAGATTTAAGCAAGAAGATAATGACAATGAAAAATTTTGTTGTAGGAAGATCACTTCTCTAGCAGTATGAAGGATGGACTGGAAGGAAAAATATTGAAGGCAGACCAGTGCAGTCATTATTACTGTTGCTGAAGTGGAAAATGATGAAGGCATGTACTCGCAGTAGTGGGCAAGACAGTCTTTTTATGTGCTTCTGGCCTGGCACTTGTTAAACTCTACTATAACTGTCTGTTTTCTGCATTGAACTACAATATGTATTAAGCACAGTTGATGGGAGCAATCTGCCCTGGGTACAGGCAATAGGGGTGGATAATTTTAAAATGGCAATAAAACCAACTATAAATTAATCTGCTTTTTATTATCACTATGCACTGGCAATTGAAAATAATGTGAATGTTAAACTCCTTCTCCTCTCAAAAAATTTTTTTTTTTTGGTGCAAGTTCTAATTAACTTATTTCTTTTCATTAGTTTTAATTGATCAGTTTCCATTTCGTCTTCTTAAAGGCATTTTAAAAGGAACTTAATTTGCCTCGACCTTAGCACCCTGCTGCTGCAACTGGAGCCTGCAGAAAAAGACTGGGTGGGTATAAAAAGAATTTACTCATAAGAATATGACCTTGAATATGAAGATTATGATAAACCAGCATTACTAAAATCTTCAACATAAGAATGACATATTCATTAAAACTCTGAAATATATTCAATAATATTTTTGTGACTTTTTTCTAAAAAAGCTTCATCTGCTAGTTATCTAACACATTTAAACTTAAAGACTTGTCTTTTTCCTTGCACAGTCCCCTTTCAACGTCCTTATTTTCACAAATCCAAATCCTTTTCTTTGAAGTCCCAAGTCACATTACACTTCCACCAAAAATCTGTCTTTCCCTCTAAATCCATGTAGCAATATTTGTGTTTTTATTACAGCCCACCCCACTGGCTACCCTGTATCATTGTCATTGTGTACACATCTTATGGTTGAAATTAAACCCATAAGCTCTTATGTGTCTTTATTATTGCTGTATCTTTGATATATCTAATAAAGTACCTAGCCCATGGGAACATTCTAGAAATATACATAGATTAATTTTAATTCATTTGTATAGAAAATGTACATGATTTTTAAGATTCTTTCAACTCTGTAGTTATCTGATCTTTTTAACCCCTGTATGTAATGTTTCATAGTGACTATTTTTAGGACTATGGAATGGAAAGAGGGTGATTTGAAAATAGATTTGATGTTTTAGGAATTTACAGGAAACTTTTTCAAATTTCATCCTTTTATAAATGAATATAACTGTGCTTTGGTAAAATTTATGTAATAATCTAAACTACAAATCACTAATATATCAGGTCACAATTTATGTTTACTGTATGCCAAACTAAAAAGAAACACTGTAGAAGAGAATAATTTTCTGGCCTAATCACTGCATCTCAAGCAGGAGATGTCAATATCACATTCATCCAAATTGGAACAAACTGTGAAATATTTTTAAGATATTCATTTGAGTAATCTCTCTGTGAGGGATTAGGAATGTAAAATCAATGAATGAGATTTGGCCTGGAAACACTGTAAAATGGCTTTTAGCATGCCTAGAGGGCAGGAAGCGTATCTATCAAGGGCTGTTAATGATATTCTTGCATTGGAAAGGATGTTTGTTAATTTGCCAAAATTATCATACCCACTGTGTGCAGAAACTTTCTACTCACTATTTCTCACATTCAAAGAAAAGTAAGATGTTAACCTATATGAAACATCTTTCAATCTAAATTAAGAGACAAATGTACATCATTACCCTTATATAAGACATAAATGATAGGTACAGAAAGGATGTTTTTAAAGCGATCTGAGATATCTGAGAATGAAATGGTTGGTAATTCTGTCTGATAAATTAAAGAAAGCTTTGAAGAGTGGTGTCATTTGAATTAAAACATATAATATGTGTAGAATTTCAAAAGGTGGATGAAGAAGTTGTATGTGTTTGGGCTTTAGGAGAGCCGGGGATGATATTGATTTTAGGATATAGGTAAAGTAATGGCAAGTCAATAGTAATTGGTGTGCAGAGTTTGCATCTAGATGTGAAAGCATTGGTCAGAACTATGGTAGATTGCAAATGGTCACAAAATCTTTGCTGCTCTTCCCATGAAGAAGTAGAGGTATTTCCACACCCCCTTTAATTTTGAATGGCTTGCTTTGGCCATCCCAAATAGAATACAGAGAATATGATGTTTGAGTTCAGAGCTATACCTTCAGGGACTTGAACATGCTTTTGTACATTGCCACAATGTGAATAAATCTGAGCTAGGCTATTGGAGGGATGTATGGAGAACTGGGTCACTGCGATTGAAACATGTCAATTGCCAAACATTCAATAAGGACACTATAGATTGTTCAGCCCCTGCCAAATAACCGGGATTATCCAAGTGAGTAAGCCCACATGAGATCTATGAAAGAACAGTGCAGCTGATCTCAGGACAAATAGCCAACTTACAGAATTGCAAGCAGATAATGGCTTTTTTTAAAAGTCATTATGCGTTTGAGTGGTTTGTTGCCCAGCAAAGGTAAACTGATATGGAGTCACTTTATTGAGAGCCTATATTATGGTCTATACAGTATTTGAATTTTATTCTATGGGAAGTGGGAAGCTTAAAAGAACTAATGCAATTGTGTCCACTTCTCACCAACCTGCCACAGCAGAGTTTATCTAAATTTTTTTTTTTTTTTTTTGTCTTGCTATCCCTGTCCTGGTATTTTAACTAAAGAGAACACACTTTTATTGGGGCTTGTTTTGTCTGCACCTATTGGTGTTTCTGGGTTACTATCTTCATTTGTTCAAGTCTGGGATGTATGATGCAAAAATAAATCTCAGGGAACTTACCTACCCCTAGCTAGCCTTTCCTCTTACAATATCCCTACCTAGCCTTTCCTCTTCTTTCAGCCTTTCTGAGTCCTACCTTTTTTGTATATAATGTAAAGGGATTTAATTACACTTAGTCGGAAGAGTAGGAAAAGGTAGTCTACTCCATTTTTCCAGAATCAAAAATGTCACACTTCACTTCTATGTTTTTTTCTCTCATTTTATTTAGTACTAAATATTTCCATTTAAACTAGCAATGGCAACACATCAGGTTACAAGTTCGATATCTACTGTGTACCAAACAAAATGTAAAGCATATGGGGGGAATAAATACTCAACTAAAGTGCCTGATTCCAGTCTTTTGATTTGTTGTGATTGTCAGGTTTTATCTACTGGATCTTTGGAAAGGGAGTTTTATACACGAGTTTTAGCCCAACTCACCATTAAATTTGGTGTCTCCTTTCCTTAAAGAAAGAGTCCCCATTCTAGCTGCCTCCCTTGATCCCTTTGTAACCCAAATAGAGGCCAGCCAGGTTTTAGCCTCTGGGGAAAATATGACGGTTTGGGAGAATCAGACCCACTGTAAGCTTCCTTCCAAATACAATAGCTGGTCATTTGCATTTCTTGAATTTGTTGCTGACCTTTAAGACAAATTCTTGGTGTATGATAAGCGCTCAAAAGACCATAGTTGAAGTGGGCTCCCTTCTATCCTATGGCTCAGAACTTTTATTCTAATTTAGCAAGAAGGACTATAAGAATAGACAATTATCATTGGCCTCCCTTATCTTACAGTATAGAGATATGAGCAGATAATATAGTTCCCAGTTACCAATTATTTCCACCGCAATTCGATTTGAACTATTTTATTGGGAAAAAACCAGAGCAGGGTGTGAGGTTTTTTTCAGATTTATTAGTTGATTCCTCACCATTTGCAGCTGGACTTTGTGTCACAAGGGGATCCCTTGTACAAGTTAAATTTCCTAGGCTGCTTAGCTAACTGGCTCCTACTTATATTGGGAAGAGGGAAGGTGCTGATGTAAAATTAGGATGTGGGGAAAGTGGGAAACTAGGGTAATGTTCTCCCTCTGTGCTTCATGAAGCATCTTTGAAAGTGATTGTGACTCCTTAGAGGCTATAGTCCTTACCAAACAGCTTGCCCACCAGTATTACAAACTTCCCATTTGATAGTGCTGGTTCCTAGACTCCAGTAAGACAAACACCTTCCTTTTTTCTCTCCAGCTCCAGTAGTGATGGTGATGCTTTCTTTCAATTACATCATTTAAATGTTTTCTATGGAATTAGGCCCCTTTATTATCCCAATCATACCTCTTTACTATCACTATTATCCCTAAGATACAGATAGTATGTAGCACAAGTGGTATTTGAGCTGTGGCAACCTGACTGCCAAGCTTTATCCTCTCACCAGTGTGTTGCAGCTACATCAAGCCATGCTGGGACTGTCAACCTTCCCAAAACAAAATGCAGAAATTGAGAGTAGCTGTTTGTCTAAAATCTGATTGACAATTCAAGGTAAATAATAGACATTAGTTTCCTTTAATAGTCCACTCTAGGTGATATTTTATATAATGGTACAGTAAGAAATCTAACAATACATCCAAAATGGAATGTGAATTTTTTTAAACTTTGAGTTGATAATGCTCATCTTCTTACATTGTGCTAAAAGAAATAATACCACAAATGCTGCTCAACTTCCCTTTTGACTAACCACAGAGGAGAATGAGTTCTTTAGTTTTAAAGATACTTTTACCCTCTCTCAGCCTTTCCTTTAGTGAAATTTCATGATGTTACACATTTCTTTCTGTGGAGATGGCAAGCCAAATTATGTGGCTTATGATAAGAAAGCTTCTTTCTACATGTAAAATCAGGAAGAAATCATTTTTCATAAAGCCTGGCCCTTTTGTTTGCTATTGCCATTTTTGTGCCTTGATCTGTAAGAGGTAACTTACTAGTTGTTTCTGGAGAAGCTTTCAATCTGGTTGAGAGCTAAAATAACATTTCAGTGTATTTTCAGATGAGGACTTTTTCTCTTGTGGGCAAAATGTTTATCAATCCATACCAATACTATCTGGATCTGATTCTATCTCCATTTTCAATTATGTTTAAACTTGTCAACACTAAGTCTGAACAAATCATTCTACGGCTTAGGGTTTTAAAGGAAAACTGAAAACAACATAGCAGTTGAATATTTTTCAAGAAGAGTCAATAGAAATCAAGAAATTATAATACATTTTTCTTTTTTTAATAAATACATAAAGCTCTTTACCATTTCCCTCTATTATTTTGATTAATGCAGTAATAAGATCTTTCAAAGCATCATTATTCCAATTTTCACAGCCTGATGTAAAAGACTCATTTCACAGTAATAATCATGGCTAGCATTAATAAATGAATGTTGATGCCATAAATAACAGCATAAGGCATATTTACACCATCTTAACATACATAAACACCATACATATACACAAAAAAGTCACAGATCCAGAACAAAGAAAATTCAATCTCCTAGACAACTTACATTTATAGGCTTTGCCTAAAACATTTTTTTTTTGCTGTTTTTTTGTAATTTTTTTCTTTCCAAGCAACAAACAAATCTCCCCTATTTCTTGTGATTTATTTGTAACATTGTGCTCATGCAAAAATAATACTTGTTTTATTGCATTAACATTTAGACAGTTTTAGATTTGGGTCCTATCACCATCGTCTAAAATTTTACTTTATGTTGCTTCATCCATATATCATTTTAGTTGGTATGATATGATGGTTTGTTTTTGTTGAGTTACAAAATGACAAACATGTCCAGTTGACCAGAGTTCAAAAATCAAGATTCTAAGCTTGACATGCACATTTTACTTTCATTCTTGCAAAATGGTTTGAATCAGATACTCCATTTTGATTTAACATTTATTGATTTATTTGTTTCCTTTTAAATCATGTTTCTATAAACAACAACAACAAAAGAATAAAATAAAATACTGTCCCACATCCACTAATCACAACAAGGAAGAGCAGCAAGGATCACACTGACCATTGTTAGGACATCAGTCAGGTGGTGACACTGTAGTAAACATTGAATGTCATCAAAATACTGCAGGAACATGATAATTACTATAGCCCATACTTCTGCAATAGTTCAGATTGCCATTGGCGTTTGCGCTCTGGAAAATAATCCGGAATGTGGATTTTTTTAAAATCCTGAATACACTTTTTCATTTCTTCTTCCACACTTAGCTTCTCACAGACTTTCTTTTTGGACAGATTTGTTTCCCGGGACTTGCTGATGAGTGTCTGAAAGAGTTCACTGTTTCTGCGTTTATCTGGTGGAGGCATCCATTGCACAGGTGCCTTTTTAGAGGGGCGATCCAATGTTAAGGTGTTAGGTTGGTGAGCTGTTGCCTGCTGGGCACTGGACGGGTTGTCCTGGGGAGTGCTTGCCTCTGAATGGCTGTCACAACTGGAAGTGGAGAGCTCATTACAGGAAGTCCCACTTTCACTTCCTTTGTCAGTGACTTTGTCATGTTTCCTATCTTCATGTTCTTGTTTAGGTGATACTATTTTCTGAGGTGGTCCTAAAATGGAGAAAAAAAAAATAAAAAGAGTAGTTGAATAAGAAGAATGAAGGTAAAATTAAACAAACTCTATATTTTCTATTTTAAACCAAGAACATGTATCTTAACAAAAATGATGCTTGTTGCACTAGTCTATGTTTGTGGGATTAAATACAAGACCTAGGGTCTTTAGCATACACTGAAAGATGCAGCATGCTGATTAATTATTCATAACAATAAAGTTTGAGAGATTTGTTTAATGAGAATTTCTGCCATAGAGGCCATCAATAACTTACTGAAAAGGTGATTTTTGTTATTTTAATTTCTAGTTCCTGGAATATATTAAAAAAGTAATGGTTTGTTAGCCTTCTATTTGTTTTGTTAGACACTTAGTTCATTTCTGTTCTAATCACTGTACTAGGTGTCCTTTCTATATATGTTCTGCCATTGTAAAAGCAAGAAAGTAATATTGTTGTATTTTACAAGGCTGCAGTATTCTCCACTGCACAGAACTACAATCATATCATTTATGCTTCCAAAGGGAAGGCTAGTTTAAATCTTATTTTAGTCTCTTAATCTTGTTTCCTATTTCCTTAAAGAAAATTATGAAACTGCCGTAAGATATATAGGGGCCTAATATTATGGTGTGAAAATATAGTTGAAAGACGGTATTCTCTTAAAATATAAGGCCTAACATTTGAGGTAAATTACCTAGGAAGACAAATTTCAGAAAGTGATTGTTTGCCAAGATAATTATTTCAAATACCCAAGGTGTTTCCAAGAAGAAGCATATTTTATTCTCTTTGACTCCACTGTGGGATTAGGATCTCCATTTAACATTTATTAAACACTACCACACACTCAGAACTATTATAAAACCTCGATCAAATGGAGCCTAACAATTCAGTGATCTAAGTTACTCAAATCTTATTTTTTTCCTTAGAGTCAAATTTTTGAACGAGTTGTATTAATCAGAATCAAGAGGAAGTCATCAGTGTTTTAAATCAATTGCCCAGGGGTTCTATTGTGCAGCCAGGCGTGAGAACAACTGGTCTTATTCAGAGGGTCTAACCTTGGCTGCATACTGGAATCACCTAGAAAGCTTCAGATTATTGATACCTTGGAATCAAGCCCAGACCTCCTGATTTAATGGAGTGCCACCTGACCATCAGGCCATTTAATAGATCAAGGCAATTTCAATGTGCAGCCAAGGTTATGAACCATTGATCAGTCTAATGTATATGAAATTAGTTAATAACCAATAACCTTCTGAGTAGTTGATATTACTCAGAAGTATTAAGAAACAAAACTCTGCTGGTTTCTAACACTGACTTTTCTATTTAAAAATTAGAAGAAACATGTCAATGCCAAATATTTGGTTAAAGATTTTTAAAAGCTTTACAACATTTTGGGATGGTGGAAATATTCTTTCTCTTGATTATGGTGTTGATTATGTTATTGTATACATTTGTAAAAACAGATAGAATTGTATACCTAAAATGGGTGAGCTTTTCTGCATGTAAATTATACCTTGACCAACCTGACTCCCTCTTCTGAAAAACAACAAAGAAACTTAAAGTATATATGTCTCTCTCTCTCTCTGTACACACGCACACACACACACACATACAGACACACAAGCAGACACACACACACACACACACACACACACACACACATATATGTATGTATTTCAGGGAAAGTCTTAAGCAATATTTCAAACTTCCTTTGTCTGAAATATGGTAAAACCAGAACAAGTTCTAATGCTTATAATTGCTTAATAAGGAAGTGCACTATTACATTTCAGAAGTATTTGCAACCAAATATTTAAAAAATTGTTGGGTTTTATTTGTTTTAAGCCTCTGCCAATTTACATTTACTGTCAGGGAAATGTAAATTTGAGATGGTGTGGAGAAAATGCACTGCTAACACTCTGTGCTGGACTTACCCAGATCAATTCTCTATTCTCCTCTGTCCAGAGTGGCTGATGGGTATGGACTTTGTTCTTAAGCTCCCTTGCCTTCTGGCTTTCAGTTGGATTCAGTCAACACCAAAGATTAGCAAGACAACAGCCTAACCCCACCCTATTCTGAGGAATGTGGTGATCTGGTATCCCTGGACCAAGAGACACAGCCCAATCAGGAAGCTCTCTCTGTCTCCTTTCCTTTTCTTCTCCTTCCCTCTTTCTCCACCCCCTCTTCAAATTTCAATAAATTGAGGCTCACAGTTTTAGACCTACAGGTGTTAATATGGTTTGGCTGTGTCCCCACCCAAATCTCATCTTGAATTGTAACTCCCAAAATTCCCAAGTGTCATGGGAGGGACCCAGTGGGAGGTAATTGAATCATGGGATCTGGTCTTTTTAATGCTGTTCTCACAATAGGGAATACATCTGGGACCTCATGGTTTTAAAAAGAGGAGTTCTCCTGCACAAGCTCTCTCTCTCTTTGCCTGCTGCCATCCATGTAAGACATGGCTTGCTCCTTCTTGCCTTCCACCATAATTGTGAGGCCTCCCAAGCCATGTGGAACTTTAAGGCCTCCCTAGCCATGTGGAAATTTAAGCCCATTAAAGTTCTTTTTCTTCCCAGTCTCAGGTATGTCTTTATCAGCAGAGTGAAAATAGACTAATATAGGTATTAACCATGTAGGTACCATAACTAATCTTAGGGTACTGCCTACACTGGTGTAAACTGTCCCACATTAAGTGCTCTTAAATATCCCAGCCAAGTGTGCTTTCTCTCTTCCTGGGTTTCTGACAGACCCACTCTATCAGACCCACTCTGGCCACCAACTGTCTTCTGCATTGAGTAGAGGGATGTTACTTGAAGAATCAGTTTTTAGTGGCTCCAGATTTATGTGGCAATAAAATTTGAAAATAAATAGGTTTGGAGTCCTATTGACTTGAATTTAAATTCTGGCTCTCCAGAAAACACTAGCCTTGTGGATTTGAACAAGATACTTAACTCCTCTAAGCATTAATTTGTTAAACTATAATACCAGTAAAACTACTTTCCCCATAGGAGCATTTTAAGATTAAGTAAGATATCATGTAAAAGGATCTAGCATAATTATTCTCAACAATGAGAGCATATCAAGGTGTATCAGTGGAATTTTTGAATGTATATATGTCATGTACATCCCTAGAGGTTTCTAGTTCAGTGTGAAGGGCTGTTATGTATGTATTTATACGAAGCTGGGAATGGTGGAGGAGATGCAGTAGCTCTTTAATCACCGTTATGGCTGAATGTGCTCTCAAGCAAGCATGAAATTCAACACCTAATACAACATAGGATATAAATAAATGTAGGGTTTTTTTTAACCTTTCTGTCAATATTTTGGTATACTTTAACCAAAAGCACCTATCAAAGGATTTTCATTCCCAATAATGATTAAAGGATTATACTGCAAATATCTGAGCAAACCAACTTACATTAAGGATAAATAGGTGATGAAAAAAAAAAAAAACTTTCCATTTATCGGCAGGGCAATAGAGCATTAGATAGAGATATCCAAGCAGAAAAGCAATCATATCAAAGTGAAAGTGCAGAAAGAGGGTACTAGACACTACCAAAGTAAATGCCTTATTTTATTTGTTTTTATTCACTGGGAGGAATTAACAAATGCTTAATGACAACAGAATGTAACATTTGTGCGATGAAAATGAATTGGTCTTGCAGTGCAAGATAAATTAGGGAAGCCCTCTTTGAAGAAGGGATCAATGAGTTCAGCTGAGAATTTTGTATCCACTGTGTGCCAGACACAGTGCTAGGTTCTGGAGGAGACACAAGTATGGATAAGATAAGCTCTCTGCCTGATGAAGTTCACTGGCTTTCTCTAACTCCAAGTGGGTGAGGACAAAAAGATGCAGAGAAGAAGAATTTACACGTGGCCAAGGATCCCTACAATTTTCTGGGAAGATGAACTAAGATGCATTCCACACCAAATCAGTCTAACTGAATTTCCTACACTAGCTTTTTTTTGTTTTTTCACATTTTACTTTTCAACTATTTTTCAATTTTCTTTGCCACCTTTAAAAAAGTCATCTATATCCCTTTCTTTTCTTCCCTCTTGTCTTTCCAATGACAAATAATATGGGTCAGAGCACGGTCAGAAATATAGCCTATTATAGAATGGTATTTTATAATTATAAGTGCTAAAATGCTTAAGATATTTTAGAATCTCTTTTTGTAGACTTCAATAACTATGAAGAAAAGGGGGTCCTGAAATTACTGTGATTCTGAGAGCTTTGAAAATAAAAAGAACTTTAAAAATAGTTATACACATTATTAAAAATTAACAAATATATAGTAATACATAGTAACATATATAATGTATTCATGTTATATATGTCTTTTATATTTTTTATATATTATATATATATATATTCATGTTTTGCTAATCCTATTTAATAAGACATCTTTAGGCAAGGTGGACCCCCAATCAGACCAAATAGATTCAGAGGTTTATATAATGACTTAAAAGAGAATGCTTAGCTTTATTTTGTGTACATCTTTGAAGGTATAGAGTAATATGAGAGTTCTCTGTATAAATCACTAGTGATCACTGCTAGTCTTCTTTTCGTTTATGCTAGCAGTTTTTATTGCTATTCATTTAAGCATACTTTAAATAATTATTGATAACTTAGTGGATTTAAATTGACTCTAAAATACAATAACTTAAACTGATTTAGCTGCTTTTTATGACATGAAATAGAGAAAAATTAATTAAGTAAATAATAATTTACTCTAGTTGCCCTGTTTCTCATGGATGCCTGCTAATTGCAGGTTTCCAGGATAATTTAAAACTTTAGTTTTATATTATTTTATTCAGTGGTCCAAAGCCACTTGACATGCTTTAAGCACCACATGAATGATAAACATCGCCAACTAGTGAATATATAGGAACAGTATGACTATTAGAAATGCCTCTGTGTCTCTTCAACTAGTAATAGAATCAGATATATACCTGAAAGATCTTCCCGAAAGCATTTTGCCCTGTGAGTTAGGGCACCCAAAAAAC